TGGCCACCATCATAGAAAAATTGCGCCCATGTGAAGCTTCAAAGCTTCTACCTTTGCGTTTTTTCGTCTCAAGGAAAGCCTAAACTCGCTTCTCATTACCACCACAACCACCACCACCACGACCACGCCAAGGATGATGAGCCGCCTAAAGAAGGAGCAGGAAAACCCGTGAAGAGCGCGTGGAGGGAGAAGGATCCTCTCATCATCCTCATCACCACCACCACCACCATGATAGATCCTAAAAATAAAGCCGGCAGCAAGGCTGGTGGCAAGAAAAAAGCTGGCGGCGGCGGCTCGATGCCCAACTCTGGGCGCAAAAGCTCAAAGGCTCAAAAGGCTGAACAGACGGAAGAGGAAGAAGAGGACGAGGCGGCTGCCGNACGAGGCGGCTGCCGCCGCAGAGGAAGAAGAAGACAAAGACAGAGACAAAGACATGACCGAAGAAGAAGAAGAGGAGGAGGAGGAATCGCCTTCACCACCGCCGCCTCCTCCAAAGAAGCGGAAAGGCCGTCGACCGGTAAGTCCAATGTTAATTAAACTCTCTTTTTCTGTTTACCATTTCAAAACTCTAAACCATTTGTTTTTTTGCAGCGCACCCGCGGCAAAAAGGCCCGCTACACCTTCGACGAACTCGCCTCCGACTCGGACGACCCCGCCCTCGAAGCGGAGCGAAAGTTTGACGTCGCGGAGAAGCTCGCCTCGGAGCGCTTTTCCCCAGCTCAATATCAGCCGGTGACCGAGTTGACGGGGGCGGACATAACGCTGGAGTACTTTCAGCGCAATGGTTTCGAGGCGCCCATTCTGGTGCGGGAAAATCTGAACAACGCCCTGGCGATGAAGATCCCTCCACCGAGTTTCACCGTGGAGGACGTGATGGCGCACGTCGGCCCTCGGCGGGTCCTGGACGTCATGGACGTGCGGACGCAGCTCGCCGAGACGATGTCCATGAAGCAGTGGGTGGGCTACTACAACAGTCCCGAGCCGAGGGAGAAGCTGCTGAATGTGATCAGCCTGGAGTTTAGCCACACGAAGCTGGAGCAGTACGTGGACTCGCCGCGGATTGTCAAGCAACTCGACTGGGTGGACCTGGTCTGGCCGAGGCACCTGAAGAAGGCGCAGCGGGAGGGGACCAATGCCATTCAGCAGATGAAGTACCCCAAGGTGCAGAAGTAAGTGAAGAGGGGATTTTGGGAAAATTTGAGCATTTTTGCTAACCTAGATTCATTCTTCCCCTTCAGGTACTGTCTCATGTCCGTCAAGGGCTGCTACACCGACTTTCACATTGACTTTGGGGGCACCTCCGTTTGGTATCACATTCTCCGCGGAGGGAAGGTCTTCTGGTTGATACCGCCCACGGAGAAGAACATGCGCCTCTACGAGCAGTGGACGTTGAGCGGAAAGCAGTCGGACATCTTTTTTGGCGACACTGTGGAACAGTGTGCTCGTGTCCACCTGGAGGCGGGAAACACCTTTCTGATTCCGACGGGTTGGATTCACGCTGTGTGGACGGAGGAGGACTCGCTGGTCTTTGGCGGGAACTTTCTCCACTCCTATGGAATTGAGGGGCAGCTGAGGGTGGCCGCGGTGGAGGATGCGACGAAGGTGCCGGCCAAGTTTCGCTACCCCTTCTACACGGAGGTGCTGTGGTACGTGCTGGTNATATACTTCGGGGAGGGAAGGTCTTCTGGCTGATCCCGCCCACGGAGAAGAACATGCGCCTCTACGAGCAGTGGACGTTGAGCGGAAAGCAGTCGGACATCTTTTTTGGCGACACAGTGGAACAGTGTGCTCGTGTCCACCTGGAGGCGGGAAATACCTTTCTGATTCCGACGGGTTGGATTCACGCTGTGTGGACGGAGGAGGACTCGCTGGTCTTTGGCGGGAACTTTCTCCACTCCTACGGAATTGAGGGGCAGCTGAGGGTGGCCGCGGTGGAGGATGCGACGAAGGTGCCGGCCAAGTTTCGCTACCCCTTCTACACGGAGGTGCTGTGGTACGTGCTGGTCCGCTATGTTCACTGTCTAACCGGGAGGAACTACCTGACGGTGGATGATGAGGGACGGTCGCTGCTGAAGCCGGTCACCGAGACTGATCTGGAGAATAACACCAATGTGGCCAATAGTAAGGTGGTCGTGGTGAAGAAAGGTAAAAGTTTTTGATGAGTTTTGATATTTTCTAATTACAATTTTCCTTTTCAGAANCTACCTGACGGTGGATGATGAGGGGCGGTCGCTGCTGAAGCCGGTGACGGAGACTGACCTGGAGAATAACACCAATGTGGCCAATAGTAAGGTGGTCGTGGTGAAGAAAGGTAAGAGTTTTTGATGAGTTTTGATATTTTCTAATTACAATTTTCCTTTTCAGAAGAGCCAGCGGTTAAGGAGGACCCTCTTGGGGCGTCGTCGTCGTCGTCGTCGTCTCTGCAGCAACAACTTCAACAGCAGCAAACTCCTTCGAACCTTCCAAATGACATCAAGAAGGAGGATACGACCAAGGAAGAAGAAATAACTCAGAATGGAGCGACTTCGACCACCGCCGCCGCTGACCCCTTCGACACCGACACCGAGGACGAGGATCTGGAGGAGATTGAGCGGCAGCTGCAGCGTCGCGCCGACCTCCTCAAGAGTCGCATGCCCACGAAGCCCTTTGTCTCCTTCTACCCCTCTTCCAGCTCCCACGTTCACCTGACCCGTTACGAGTTGGGCGGCCTGCGAGCTGCCGTGGCCCACCTGAGCTCGCTGCCGCCCTCCAAGCNTCTGGAGGAGATTGAGAGGCAGCTGCAGCGTCGCGCCGACCTCCTCAAGAGTCGCATGCCCACCAAGCCCTTTGTCTCCTTCTACCCCTCTTCCAGCTCCCACGTTCACCTGACCCGTTACGAGTTGGGCGGCCTGCGAGCTGCCGTGGCCCACCTGAGCTCGCTGCCGCCCTCCAAGCGAGCCATTCCCGAGCTGGTCATTGCGCCGGAGAAGCTGCTCGCGGAGGCAGGTCGTCTGCTGGCTGACCACCAGGAGGATGACCATAGCCTGGCGGCCACCAATCGACCGGTGCTCTTCTGGCTGACGANCCCGTTACGAGTTGGGCGGCCTGCGAGCTGCCGTGGCCCACCTGAGCTCGCTGCCGCCCTCCAAGCGAGCCATTCCCGAGCTGGTCATTGCGCCGGAGAAGCTGCTGGCGGAGGCGGGTCGTCTGCTGGCCGACCACCAGGAGGATGACCATAGCCTGGCGGCCACCAATCGACCGGTGCTCTTCTGGCTGACGAAGAAGTCGCTGGGGTTGATGGCGAACATCAGCCGGGCGAAGGTGGTCAACAATCGGAACACTTCCGCCAACCACCATAACTTTTCGTCTCCTCAAAACCCAAATCACCACAATACCTTCAGCCTGCTGAATGGGGCGCTGAAGAATCCGCTAAATGGCGGGAATGGAATCGCCACAAGTGGAAATGGCGGCAACGACTACAAAGTGAGCAGCGGCACGACGCTGAAGACCGATCTCATTCCCAGCTCCTTTGAGGGGCTGATTGCGCAGACGGGCCGAGGGGCGGGCGGGTTTCTTTTTAATAAGAAGATTGCTCCACCTGCTCCAAAAGCCAAACTACCATCTCCTGTGGTCACTTCGGTTACCACCGGCCCTGGAGCTGGAGCTGGGGGTGGAAAGGTGTCCACCAGCCCTGCCTATACGCCCAAGTCGCCGACGACGCCGGCGCCTCCGCTGCCAGGAGCGCCCAATGGATATCCTCCACCTCCACTTCCGGCACAACAGCAGCCAATGCGTTCTGGTGGGGCCTATGGAGCTGCCTATGGAGGACTGCCACCACCGCCCCCACAACCGCCTCCTCAACCACAGTCGACCACGTATTTTTATCAGCAGCAAGGTCAGCAGCAGCAATATCCGCCGCCACCTCAGCAACCTCCCAACTACCATCATCCTCATCCTCATCATCAAGTGCTTCCTCCTCCACCACCACCACCAAATCAGACGACCTTTGTCTATCAGCAGCAGCCGCCGCCGCCTCAGTACAGCACCTTCTACTCTGCCTCCCGAACTCCCTATCCTCTAGGATCGACTGTAGTGGCAATTACTTCATCAGGCAGCAGTTTGCCCATCAGGCCCATTCCCCAGCAGGTGCTCACTGTGAGGCCAGCAGCAGGGGTGGCAGTGGTTTCGGCGGGAGTTCCATCCTCCAGTGGTGGTCCTCCTTATGTTGGTCCGCCAACTTACGCTGCACAGCCAAGCTATAGTCCTCAAAATCAGGGGCCACCGTACAGCTATGGCCAGCAACAACAGCAGCCGGGGACCAATGGCGGCTATGCCTACCAACAGCAGCAGCAGCAGCAGTATTACCAGCCTCCACCTCCTCCTCAGCAGCAGCACATTTTGCTCAAGACCTCAAATCCCAGGCCTCCAGGACCACCTTCTCAGGTGATCTACTTCAACAACCAACAGCAGTCTCCGGCGGTAGTGTCCACCACGCCCACTACGGTCATCTACAACAACAACAACAACAACAACTCGTATGGAGGAGGAGGAGGCCTCTACACGGCCCCCTCGCCGACGCCCATTCTGCTGGAGCAGCCGAAGAACATCTACTACGTGAAGAACACGGCTGCCGCCTCTGTGGTGGCCGCCGCCCCAGGGCCGCCCAATCTTCCCGGTCAAGGTGCTACCACCCACTACTACACGCCCCCACAGCAGCAGACTGCTTATCAGCAGCAGCAGCAGCGGCAGGCGTATCCACCACCACAGGCAGCTCAATCGGCGGTCATCGTGGGAGTGCAAGCACAGCCACCCTCTAATCACCCCCTGAACCATCACCCCCAACCATCGCCATCATCCCAATCATCATCACCACTCTATCCCTCCTATCACCAGACACACCCCCACACAGCAGCAGTCCTCTCCTCCTCCTTTAATCTAGTTCAGCAGCAGCATCCCCAGCATCAACATTCTTACAATCCTCAGCATCATCTTCAGCAGCAGCAGTCAAGGCCAGCACCTCAAAGCAGTTCTCATACTTCAGCCAATGTCCACAGTGGTGGTGTGATTTCAATGCCCATTTCGATGGGAAATGTCGTCGTCTCCTCCTCCTCAAGTCCTCAGCCGCCGCCCTATTACGCCTACCCACCCACCTCCTATCCACCCATTCCCTATGGAAGATAAGAGTCAAAACAGTAATAACCAACTCTCTGCGGCGGCGGCGCCGCACTTGAGGACATCGACGAGCACAACGACGACGACACAACCCCCACAACCACCACCACCACCACCTCCTTTTGGTGGTCACTACCATCAACACCCACTGATGGGAAATCACCCTCATCACCCAAACATTGGCACTGAACCTACTTACCACAATCTGCAACCTCCTGCTTCTGCTGCTTCTTCTTCTGCTACGACTGCTAACCCTAATTCTACTTACCCTCCTGCTGCCTATAATCCCCCNACCTCCTTTTGGTGGTCACTACCATCAACACCCACTGATGGGAAATCACCCTCATCACCCAAACATTGGCACTGAACCTACTTACCACAATCTGCAACCTCCTGCTTCTGCTGCTTCTTCTTCTGCTACGACTGCTAACCCTAATTCTACTTACCCTCCTGCTGCCTATAATCCCCCCCTGAATCCCGCCGTGGATCCTTCCAATCCCTACGCTGCACATCATTTCGCACATCCCCCTCCTCCTCATCCCACTCATCCTTCACCCTATGGAGTTGTTCCTCCTCTTCCTCATCCTCCTCTTTCACAATCTCATCCCTATCCTTCAGCTGTTCCAGCTGTTCCTGCTGCTCCTGCTGTAGTACCACCAGTTCCAGTTCACCCGAATGCCGCGGCTGCTGCCGCTGCCACTCACCAGTATCACCATCACTATCAACCACCGGCCCCGGCCACCCATCACCACCATTACTACCATATGGCACCTCCTGTCCCACCAGGAGCTTATGTACCTCCTGTGGTGCCACCACCTGTTCCTGGACAAGCTCCACCGCCACCCTCTGTGAACCCTTATGCTCCGCCAACGATTCCGCCCTATTTGCCGCATCATGCGATGGCTTTGCCACCTCCTCCGCCACCACCACCTCTTCCGGGACTTAATGTTCCGCCACAAGCAGTGCCGGTAATATCTGCGCAGGCTTTACCACCACCTCCAGCACCCTCACCTTCACCGACGCCGAAGAACTATCATCAACAGCAGCTGCCTTTGACGCCGCATCGAGGCTCATCATCTTCAACGACCAGTGTTTCGACCACTCCTTCGAAGCACCACTCTTCGTCTTCTTCCTCTTNAAGCTCCACCGCCACCCTCTGTGAACCCTTATGCTCCGCCAACGATTCCGCCCTATTTGCCGCATCATGCGATGGCTTTGCCACCTCCTCCGCCACCACCACCTCTTCCGGGACTTAATGTTCCGCCACAAGCAGTGCCGGTAATATCTGCGCAGGCTTTACCACCACCTCCAGCACCCTCACCTTCACCGACGCCGAAGAACTATCATCAACAGCAGCTGCCTTTGACGCCGCATCGAGGCTCATCATCTTCAACGACCAGTGTTTCGACCACTCCTTCGAAGCACCACTCTTCGTCTTCTTCCTCTTCGAGTGGACATCACCAGCACCACGGTGGACACCATCACCAACAGTCGCATCAACAGTCGCCTCACCATCAACAACAGCATCAACATCAGCAACAACAGCACAATCAACATCAGCAGCAACAGTTTACACCTCCAAATTCTTCTGCAACGCCAACCAATCCCGGAAACTATAGTGGCCCATCGGCGGCGGCCAAGGCGGCGAATGACGCCTCGCGGCGACGGCGAACGCGCTGCAAAAAGTGCGACTCGTGTCTGCGGGCCGACTGCGGCGACTGTCACTTCTGCAAGGACATGAAGAAGTTTGGAGGGCCAGGTAAGGGAGGAGACAACTTTAAAGATTTTAAAATCTAGATTAATTTTTTTTTGCAATAAATCTAGGTCGGATGAAGCAGTCGTGCATCGCCCGGCAGTGCCTCGCCCCGGTCCTCCCGCACACCGCCTGTTGCGTCATTTGCGGCCGCGATGGCTGGGAGAAGTTGGCGATTGACCCGGCGCTGGCCGATGAAGCGAGCTCCTCGCTGATGGAGTGCTCCCAGTGCTGGGAGATTGTCCACCCCTTCTGCCTCAATGAACGCCACCCGGAGGTGACGGCGCACAATCGAGGTAAGAGAGTGGGAGGGAGTTTTGGGAGTTTTGGGAGTTTAGATTTATATGAGTTTTTGGTGTTGTTTATTTCCTAGGTCTGCTCAATAAGGAGCTGCCCAACTCGTGGGAGTGTCCAAAGTGCGTCAAGTCGGGCAATGTCTCCAAAGGTCCTGGAGTGGGAGGGCCGCCTGGTGCTGCCATTTCATCTCCAGGTAGTGGTCATCAGCAAAGTCCGCAGAGTTCTTCAACTGCTGCTGCTTCAGGTCACAAGACTCCGACGCCTTCTGCCTCGATGCATCAACAGCAGCAGCAACATGGTCATGGTCATGGTCATGGTCATCACCATCAGCACCATCAGCACCACTCGTCGCCAATGAAGTCGCCGACGAGCAAGTCGACGTCTTCCACGACGACAACGACCTCTTCAAGCGGTGTGAACCATCATCATCACCAGCATCAACAGCATCAGCATCAGCAGAACTTCCAACAACAGCAACAGCAGCAACACCAGAACGCCTGGCAGGCGATGATGCAGGCTAGTGGACAGGCTCAGTCTTCTTCGACAGCTGCCCAGCAGCCAAATCCCTATCTTCATCATCAACAGCCGCATCAATTTCAGCAATATCCTCCTTCTCAGCCGTACTCTCAGCCGCCGGGCCACCACGGCTATCCTCAAACGCCATATCCTTACCAGCAACATCCTCATCAGCCGCTACCAGGTCACAGCCAGCAAAGTCCTCAGCATCAGCAGCAGCAGACGCCCAAGAAGGACAGTGGTCACCAGCAACATCAGAGTCAATATCATCAACAGCTGCAAAGCGCCTATGGAACTCCTTCAAGTACCTCTGCTGCTGCAGCAGCTGCTGCTGCTGGTGCTTACCACCAATCTCAGCAGCATCAGACTCAGCTTTCCACAACTCCAAGCTCTGGTGGCTCAAAGCGGCAGCGACCAAGTGAGCAGCATCACTCAAAGGAGTCGGAAAAGACTGGCTCGAGCAGTGGCAGCAGTGGCAGCAGCAAAAAGTCAAAGTCCTCTTCGAGTAAGGGGACAGGTCACAAGTCGCCGAGCACCTCTTCGACAATTTCGACAAGTGCTTCTTCTTCTTCTTTGACGACAACTACCACCACTTCAAGTGCGTACTCTGCGAGTGCTTGGACTTCGCCGGCTATGCTTCCTCCTCATCAGCAGCAGCAACATCAGCAACCTCCACAACTTCCACAACATTCAGGGTGGCCTGGATTTTATCCTCCACCAGGACATCATCCAACCTGGAATCC